GTGTGTAGAAGCTCGGCCTCCAGCCATGCCTTGAAAAAAGTTGGCCGTACCACCTCTTGAGGTCCGGTACCCCAGGACAGCTGTCAGTGCGGACCAGCTTGGCAGATGTTTGCGCCTCTCCTGCTTGAGTGGAGAGCCTTGCTTAGCCCTCAAGGCCGAGCTCCGCGTTATGGAGTGATGTTTGAAGCACTCGGCAGTTCTTACCCGCTTCTGATACTCTGTGGCAATGGGAAAAGCCATTCAGTAGCTGCATAAGTTCTGACAAAATACCTTGGTTTTAGGCTTAATGGGCTTGTTTGAGAAACGCCGGTTCAGGAAATTCCTCGTGTACGTTGCCAACTTCGATGAGAACGACCCCCGAACTTTCGAAGGCGTTGATCCCAAGAAGACCACCATGCGCGACGTGTATAAGAAGTTTGACCTGGGGCAGGACGTTATAGACTTCACGGGCCATGCCCTCGCGCTCTACAGGACCGACGAGTAAGTGTGGGTTCGGTTCCTCCCCCAAATCGGCTGGGGTGCTGGGCGCTTACAGCGCAGGCCTTGCAAATCGAGGGTAGGATGGTTTGCAAAGTGTGTCTCTCCCTGAGCGCTGCGCGAATCTTGAAATACTGGGTCCTGGTGGGGTATTTAAAGTTTGTGGGTTCCTGGGGTTAACGAAGGATCTCCTTCCTGAATAAAACCCCTTGTGATGACACTAAGTGCTTCTAAAAGGGAACTTCCAGGGAAATACTTGCCAGGAGCAGCCAGAGGGTGGGGAAGGAAACTTCCCGGGAAGGAAATGTTTTGCTCTCTTCAGTGCATTCTGCTGAAAGTCTTGGTTTGTGAAACGTTGCAAATCACGTAACTGCCCTCTCCAGCTATCTAGATCAACCATGCCAAGAAACAATCAACAGGATTAAGCTCTACAGCGAGTCGCTGGCTCGGTACGGTAAAAGCCCGTACCTTTATCCCCTCTATGGCCTTGGAGAGCTGCCCCAGGGATTTGCGAGGTGAGAACTTTGGTTTTGGACTCCAGTATTTTCTCAACCCTGCTGTGGTACCTGGTGGGGGGACCAGGCTTCCAGAACGTGACGCCGCATAAAAATACTGCGGTCGTTAATGGTTCTCTCGCTGTCTTAAACCAAGAAGAGATTCCTTCATGTGAGATTGCTTCTTTCTGGGCTTGTTTACCACCATTGCTGTTAGGGGTGGTAGTTCTGGGTTTGCTCAGAGATACTGTTTGCAGCACGTAGTCTATCCAAGAAGTTGAATTTGCCTGCATGGTGTAGCCTGCAGCTCTTGCGCTGCAGGACTGTCTGGCTTGCACCAAGCAGATTCTTTCTGGCTGGATGTAACTGCACCTATAATTTACTCCGAATACCAGCCGATGCCTTGCAGAAATAACAGACACCACCTGCTGCCTAGATGTTTGAGCAGCGGATTTTGAAGAGGTTTAAGTTTAATGTGTGGTTTCTCCAAGTGGAACAGAAACAAGGGGCTGGAAGGGCTGTTAAAAACTGAACGCACACCTGTGGAACGCGCTGAAGTGCCTTTACTCTTGCAGGCTAAGTGCTATATATGGAGGCACCTACATGCTGAACAAGCCCATTGAAGAGATCGTGATAGAAAACGGCAAAGTGGTCGGTGTGAAGTCCGAAGGGGAGGTACGGTACCTTCCTGTTCTTTCCTTACTCCCCACCCCGCATCTCATCTCTCAAAACTGAGGCTGTTGCTCATCGAGCTGAACAAACACAGTAGAAAAACCCTCGTCAGAGCCCTAGGACCCAAACTGCTCGGCTGCTGCTGTTTTACCCCGTGCCAACTCGCTTAAGATGTTGGTATTTGCATGGTGAGGAGCACAGCACAGTAGTCCTACTCCAGGAGTAAGAATGAAGTCTTCAGGGCAGGAAGGCCCTGCAGAGGGCCCTGGCCAGGCTGGATCGTTGGGCCGGGGCCAACTGTGTGAGGGTCAGCAAGGCTCAGGGCCAGGTCCTGCACTTGGGTCGCAACAACCCCAGGCACCGCTGCAGGCGTGGGGAGGAGCGGCTGGGAGCTGCCCAGCGGGAAAGGGCCTGGGGGTGTTGGTCGACAGCCGCCTGAACATGAGCCAGCAGCGTGCTCAGGTGGCCAAGAGGGCCAATGGCATCCTGGCTTGTATCAGGAATGGTGTGGCCAGCAGGACCAGGGCAGGGATCGTGCCCCTGTGCTGGGCACTGGTGAGGCTGCCCCTCGAATGCTGTGCTCAGCGCTGGGCCCCTCACCCCAAGGTGGCCATGGAGGGGCTGGAGCGTGGCCAGAGCAGGGCAGCGAGGCTGGGGTAGGGGCTGGAGCACAAGGCTGGGGAGGAGCAGCTGGGGGGGCTCAGCCTGGAGAAGAGGAGGCTGAGGGGAGCCCTCATCGCTCCCTGCAACTGCCTGAAAGGAGGCTGGAGCCGGGGGGGGTCGGTCTCTTCTCCCCAGTCACACGCGATGGGATGGCCCTGGCCCAGGCTGCCCAGGGCAGGGGGTGAGTCCCCATCCCTGGAGGGATTTAAAAGCCGGGGAGATGTGGTGCTGAGGGACATGGTTTAGTGGTGGCCTTGGCAGTGCTGGGTTACCGGTTGGACTTGATGATCTTAAGGGTCTTTTCCAACCTAAACGATTCTATGGGGCGGCAAGGTTGTCTTCTGAATAAACGGGGCTGGCTAAACTGGAAACAAGCTGCTTGCTTGTGTCTAACCTGGGTACGGAACCAGCTCTGCCCTTGACATTAAGTATTAGCTCCTCCGACCACTGGCACACAGCCTTTCTGCAGCTTCTTCTCCACCTGGCAACATCAAACTAGCGAGAGTCCTGCGAGTTGCTTGGAAGTTATAAATGTGCTCCCAGCTGGAGCGGGAGCGTCGCAGGACAGTTCAGCACTTGCTGGTAGGGTAACGTGGCCCTCCTGGGTAGTGGATGACGTGTCCTGGCTGGCAGCGGAGGTGATAATCCACGCTATAGACTGATGTGCCCAAGTGCAGGCTGCCTGGAGGCCTCAAATTGGTCAAATATTAAATTATAACTGCAAAAAATGAGTTCTAATGAGAAATGGTTAATTCTTATCCGTGTGGTTCAGCCTTGACCACAGCAAGTTGTGGTCCTAGACTGGAAGGACTGGACTCTGTAGTGTTTAGAGCTTAACTGTGTACTGAACGCAGGGGAAAAGGTGATTGATCACGCAGCTCTGTGTCATCTTTTATGAGTAACACACTGAGGTTTGGGTTGTCCAAGCTGAAGCGTGCTGCTGGCAGTGCAATAAGAACCTGATCCAGCAACAGCCGCCTCAAACCCCTCTTGATTTTCCTCAAAATCAGCCGGTTCCTCGCCTCTGGCTGTCTGCGTACGCACCTCCGCGCGGTGGTCGCTCCAAGTCCGTCTGTCTCTGCAGGTTGCTCGCTGCAAACAGCTCATCTGCGACCCCAGCTACGTCTCGGACCGCGTAACGAAGGTCGGTCAAGTGATTCGGGTAATCTGCATCTTGAGCCACCCGATCAAGAATACGAACGATGCCAACTCGTGCCAGATCATCATTCCACAGAATCAGGTCAACCGAAAATCAGGTGCGTGGAGAGCGGGGACCGCCGGGGCGTGCGCAGGTCTCGTCGCGCTTGGGTTGAGGCAGAGTGGTCGTTAAACGGCCTCACACCGAACGCGCGCTCCGACGGTCCGGTGAGATGGGAATCAAACGGGAAAATGCCCTTCCTGTGTCCCAAAATCCTTTAGGGCCCAGCGAGGCTGCGCTTTAGTTTAGAGCAGCGGGGCGGGAGGTGGGAGAAGCCGGGGTGCCCGTGGTCAGAAAATCGCTTGAGTTCTACTGCGAAACGGTCAATTATCTGTTTGGTTCAGCCTCGACTGCAGCGAATTGTGGAACTGGACTCTTGTAGCGGTTAGAGCTTAACTGCGTCGCGAAGGAAGGGGAGGATGCGATTGGTCGCGCAGCTCTGCGTCGTCTTTTAAGAGCAATGCGCTGAGGTTTGGGTTGTCCAGGCTGAAGCCTGCTGCTGGCATGGAGCTGCGTGTGCGAAAAACGTCGTCGCGTTCGTCAGCGGGCAAATTGGAACGCCGTAATTCCGACACGCGGCGCCTAGCTCAAACCTTAATTGTTTATTTAAATTTCACTCTTCAGCTAAAACTACTGCTCGTTCATAATAGCGGAGTGAAATCCGTTAGGAGCGGGGCGAGGGCTGAGCGCAGGAGGGGAGACGCTTCCTCGCCCGTGAACGGAGGGGTGCGCTGGCTGCTGGGGACCCCGCTGGCTTTCAGGAGCCGTCACAGCCACGGGGAACAGAATTGTGGAGATCTCCCAGGGCTGCTCGTGTCCGGGCCCCTCAGCCAAGCGACTGAGGGCCCGTAGGACTGCGGGGCAAGGACGGAGCTCGTTCAGGCGTGGTCTTAAACGAGACAAGGAGGTGGGAAGTGTCGGGGAGCAGGAAGAGGCGCGTGAGCGTGCAAGCTGGAGGAGGCTTTCGGGACGGGGCCTGACCCGGGCCGGTGGCTTCCCTGGCGCGTTCTGATCTGCCGCCGTGCTGTGCTTCCCCAGATATCTACGTCTGCATGATCTCCTCCGCGCACAACGTGGCAGCGCAGGGGAAGTACATCGCCATTGCCAGCACTACTGTGGAAACCGCGGACCCAGAGAAGGAAATCAAGCCGGCCTTGGACCTCTTGGAGCCTATTGAGCAGAAGTAAGCCCTCGATGAGCCCCCTCTTCCCCTTTTCACCTCCGCTGCGAGCGCTCGGGCCTGCGGCGCGAAGGCAGAGGGGATCTGACGGCCCTTTGGCTGCACAGAGGTGCTGAAACTCTGAATTTCCCCTGCGCCGTGACTGCCGACGCGCTGGGCAGGGCGACGCTC